TCTGGGCTTATTTTTCTGAAGTCCACCTACATAATTGACTTTGTGTGGTATGGGGTTTAACGTAGGTTCAACAGTGAGGATTTAGAGATTTTTTTTTCAAACTAGAATTACCGCCTCATGGGTGTTTGCCTCGGCCACTCAGACTAGTTTCAGATTACATCCCTGTTTATCCAGAGTCCTATAATATATGAACCGTTTGTGTGAAATTTTGAAATAATTGCTGTGTGAATTCTTGAGTTATGGCTAAAAAGTGTTGCGTGAGGTCATCGTGACCTTGACCTATGACCATCAAAATCTGATCAGTTCATCCCTGAGTCCTAGTGGATGTTTGTGCCAAATTTGTTTTTTCTTCCATCAAGGCATTACTGAGGTATTGTGTCCACGAGGTTGGGATGGACAACCAGAAAACAAAATGCCTCTAGCTCTGGCTGTCGGCGGCGCAGAGGAATAAAAAGGATAGAGTGACAAATCTAGCAACTTTTTTTTGACCGACCTCAGCTAGTTTCCATAGAAGAAAGTCGCCAGCAGGGGTACAACGTACTGACACCTTCAAATAATAAATTAACAAATCTGAGTGTCTAAACAGAGAGCGAGATAGACGGGATGACACACACAGGCAGGTGGGAGAGAAGCCTCTTGTTCAACAACAGAAACAGAAAAACAATTAAATGAGAAGAGCTTTGGGAATTCAGCTGTATTACAACACTGTGTAAGTGAGCACAGAGAGGAGGGGAGAAGAGAATAGATAAAGGGCTGAACCAGGCAACACTAGGCTGAAAGAAATTGATGCGATGTCAGGTTTTTTTTGTTTTTTTTACAGCGGGTCTACAACAGTTTTTAGCTACATCCTCACACGCGGTCCAGCCGTGCACTAGGTTTTGACATAGTCTTGTTTTATATGAGTTAGATTTGTTCATTGTACCAACATCTACTTCTCTCTCTTGCAGGAGATGGCGGCTGTAAAGGAATTTATCGGGAAGCATTTGCCCCGAATCTGACCTCACCCCATCCCCACTGTGACCCCCTGAGACACTGACCTCTCACCCCTGATCTGCCATTCTCCCACAGGAAACAGCCATGAACACCCCCTCTTCCACACACACCCACAAGATAACACGCATGAACACACATACACACACACACACACACACACACACACACACACACACACACACACACACACACACACACACACACCTTATAACACTGATTTGATCCACATTGCTAAACAAAACATGTGCTTCTCATGCAGTCCAATCCAACACACTGATTTGATAACAACATAACCAAGTGGTCGCACTCACAAGTCTTAGCCTTCGGAGGGAGAAACACTGATTCACACAAAACATTCCCTTTGGTTTTGTTTAAACAACCTGTCTGTCGCCTCCACCTGAGCCTCAGTCTTTCTCCACTTTTACCTCATTTTGCTTCATCTTAACCTCAGCTGTCACATCCTCCATCGCTTCCTCTGCCACGCCTTTCCCTCTTGCATCACTTTGAGACATTTAGTGGAGAAAACAAATTAAGACAAAATCGGATAAGTGGGTTAACACCTAGCTGAAGGAAGGCGCAGTCAGACCAGATTTTGCTTTCCATTCATTTCTATATGGAAAAGATGGGAGTGACCTCTCATTCAGGAAATACTGTTTTCTTATAGGCTTGCTTTATAACTGCACAGCATAGAGGAGGTGCTGCAGTGAGTGAAAGGACAGTGACAGAGGTTAATGACAGTAAAATGCTGGATAATTTACAGCTTTGTCCACTGCTGTTGTTGGGCCACTAACCACGCTAGAGCTCCCACAGTTTATGTTTTCAACCGTACCCCATGCTATTTCCTATCCCCCTCCTCATTTTTGCAGCATCAGGCGAGTAAATTTCACCTGGCAGCAGCTTCACTCCAGATCTGAGTCCCACTCAGGTGCAGTGAGTGCTGGTTTTAAAAGCTGGAGCAGCTGGTTTACCACCAACGCATCCGTTTCATTCCGCCGCCTACCACCCAGTGACAGTGCGCTGCAGCCTGTCTGGGTCTTGAATCTTGATTGCTCAACTACGAGGCCCCTTTTACTGAAGTGTCAACATCCTCAGGGGCCTCACAAAACTTTTTTTAATGAGTGTGATAAAATATCTTGAACTGTGTGAAGAAAATCCAGTTGAAATAAAAGAAAACTAATCACTTGATGCATTTGCCACCCTGTGCTGTTTTTTTTTTTTTTTTCTAAACTTCCACACCTGCATGGTAGACGTCTCTTCCTGCTTTGGTTATGTGATTCCTGATGTTAAAGTACCTCTGTTGATTTCCATGGGTTGACTGACCATTATGAGTTGCATGAAACGATGCATCACACGGTTGCAGACCCGCACAGACACCAAGAGTCGTTTCACTGTTCCTCCCACCGACACTTCCTCTTTAAACATTTCCACATTCAAGTTTTACCCTTTCCACCCCATGAAACAGCCTCCTCCCCACTACTCCCAGTTCATTGTCAGGAGTTTTGGTTGTTTTAAACTCTGGTGGAGAAACCTGCTACTTCCATGACACCAAAGCAGGTCGTAAATAGAGTTTAAAACAAGCACAGACCATTTATTTCCAAGAAAATGTAAGAAAATATTCCCTCACCAGCTCCCTCCTTTGGCAACTTACTGTAACCCACTAATAGAACATAAAAGGTCAGATTTAAAGTTAAAACCCAACACTATTATAGTTCACTTCTTTAAAGAAAATGGCTATACACTGGGAGGGCTTTGGCAAGAAGCAGTACCAACATAACTGAAGGGTGATTTTACAAATTAAAAAAAAAAAAAAGTTAATCATAAACAACTTGTGATCCTTTCACATAGGAGTGTAACTCTGAGGAGTCATGTGTGCTTAAAAATATATTATCAGGTGTTCTGCGTTTTCCTTTGTGAATGTTAATTTTGCTCTCCTCATGATTACCTGTTCTACTTTGCTGTTCTCAAACCTGATTTTTAAAACAAAACAAAAAAAAAAAAACGGTGAAAAAGGATGAAAGACATCGTTTTGATTGCTGTTGATAAATCAATGAATGTCTCTTTTAACTCCTCGAGTCCTTTCATATTTTCCCGTCACTTAAATCTCTGATGCAGCCCTGTGTTCTTTTTATTTTCCTCCTCTTTGACACCTTCACGGTTTTTTTTTCCCATTATTCCAAGAATGTCCCTGTGTGTGACGGCGTCGCACTGTCTGGTGTGTTTTCTCCTGGGTTGTATCATCGGTTAAACTTTTTACATGTGTGTTTTTTTTTTTTTCTTTATTGGACTTATGTTTGTTGTGTTTTGTCACTGTTGTCATCTCATCCTTTTTTGTGTCTGTTTATAATGATGAGCATTAAGTAAACATGTTGAGGCGAGACTGATGGTCTCTCCACTTATTTTGTTTCCAAAACACCTGTATGAGAAATAAATGACAAAAAAACATCCATCTGAGTTGAGCATCTTTCATTTTCTGTAGCTGGATATATATCAGACAACGGATTAAGTTGGTGAAAGAAGGAAAATGAAGGAGAATAAAACATAAACCTGTGTATGAAATTTACAATTCAACAAACACAAGTGCCCTCTAACGGAAAAAAGTCTGATCAATCCTTTAACTGAACTGACAGAGATACAAACAAGTCACTGTTATATAAATCCTATTTCAAAATTTAAGTTTTACATCAAAAACAAGTAGTTCTTTAGTTCCACTTCAACATCGTATCATTAAATAACAGAGAAATTGCTGTGAAGCCATTTTTTTGGCTTTTTTTGCCATAATGTCTATTGATGAAAGGAATTGATCGAATTCATAAATAAAGTTGAAAAGGATGTTCAGTTTTCCTGAATCTTGATTGAAGTGTGACAGTGGTACTAAGGACTAGTATGTTGTTTGTCTTTTAAGATGATACCAAAAATTCTATCTTCCCTTGTAAAAATCAACCAAGTATCTTAGAAAACAGCCAGAGATGAACATCATCCCAAAACATCTTACTATACATACAGTCATAAAACAAATGACTTGTTGACTGTTTTCATCACGGAGAGTGCAGCGGTTACAGTTCAGCCCAAATCGCTGCTTAATAATTATGAAAATATTCCTGAGAAAGTTTTAAAGTTAACTTTTTCAGCTTTTGATGGAATAGGGAGTTTAATGTAGTTCATTCAGATTTTTCAAATTTGATCTTTAGTGAAGATAAACTTTGAAGAAATGGTCAGAATGCACCAACAATGAATTTCCAAATTACTCAATTTGGAAGTTTGAAATCTGTAAAATCATGTCCTTTCACAAAAAGTTGAGGCAGGCATCAGTACCATTGACCAAGGATGGAGCACCAGCTGGGCAAAGCAAGCAACTGCCCAGGAACCCCAAAAGCCCCGGATTTACTCCATGTTATTTCTGTCTACATAATTTGATTCACTGAAAATATTATCTGCCATCATCCAGAACTTTAAGGCTGCAATCACTTTCATTATCAATAGATTAGACTATTATTTTCTTTAATGATTCATTGTTTAGTGTGTACAAAAAAAGAGCCATCACTATTCCATTTAGCCCATGTAATGTTATTCTGATGCTTGTCACTTGTATTTTCGAGTTTACTATCATACAAAAGTGGGCAATTATATTTCCCAGGTTTGGTACCAGTGAATGTTTGGCATTAAACAATAAATCACTGCAGCTCAGAGTGCTGGTTGGTTTCTGGGTGCCTAGAGAAATAATGAAACTGTGTCGTACATTGGAGGTCAATAGGGACCCAACAACAGGGGGGTTAATCTGACCATGTCACTGTAGTTACTGTAAATATCTATATAATCTGATATTATTTGGTGACGGGTGGAAACAAATTTTCTGCCGTCGCCCACTCCCATTTAAAATTAAAAGCGAATAGGGTTGCACAGAATGGCTGCCCGGCTCTTGTGACTCCTCCTGCCGAGGAGCGGACCAATGAACGCGGCAGGGAGGTTCTTACTGTGTCGGAGAAAGAAAGACCCTTTTCTACTCAACCGTTAGTCGCCATTTTGAGAAGTTCGACCTGCAAACACCGGCAGGAGGTGATTGCGACGCAGCAGACCTATAACGTATTTGATATTTTAATAATAGTTTTCGCTAAAATAAGAATCAATGTCTCGATTTAACAATAATCGCGGCGGACTTGGGATGAATCATTTCCAACAACGCAGAGGCGGTGGGCCTGGCGGCCCGATGCGGGGTGGAGTAATGGGAAACCCGAATTTCAGGAATCATCCATTTCAAAATCAGAACCAAAATCGGAGGGGACCAAATAATAACTTCAACAAACCGCCTAATCAGGGACCACAGACGACTCCCCATAAGCCACAACAGACCCAGTCGTTGCCTATCATTCCTCCACCGAGCCCCGGCCCCGCTCTCACGATGAAGGGCCCGATGCAGCAGCAACAGAAACCGGTACAGCAACAGAAACCGACAACTCCAGCGCCTCAACCGAAGATTCAGTCCCCACCGCCGAAACCTAACATGACCTCCCCTCAACCGAATCAGGCAAACAAGAATCAGAACCAGCAGCTGAAGTCACCGGTAGGAAACGCTAACGGACAGCAGCAAAAGCAGCCCCCACACCCGAGCCCAAAGGCCGGGCCACAGCAGGGCCAGAAGACAGGCCCCCAACAAGGCCAGAAGACAGGTCTCCAACAAGGCCAGAAGACAGGCTTCCAACAAGGCCAGAGGACAGGGCCTGGCGCCATGAAGCCTAAAGAGGAACCAGAGAAAAAGGCCATGAACACAGTTAAACCAGAGTCAGACGAGGGTCAGGCACAGGTCGGTAGTGTCTTTGTAACATTTTCTACCGGCGTTAATGGCGTCAATGGTCATTGTTGTTAGCTTGTGCTAGCTCAGTCAGCACGGCTAAGAGTGCGTTCGATTTGAGATGTTGTCCAGCCCGAGTGGGTGGAGTTATGTTGCATTCTCGCCATGATAACGTATTTTTAGCTCAGCCGCCTGCTACAACCTATGACGGTACAAGCCGTGATGGAAATCGCGCGCACTATAATTTAGTCGCTTTAGTCGTCCGCCATCTTGTCCAAAGTCCTTACAGTTATATAAATGCCAATTCTGCTTCGGGTAACAAAAACTGGACACCCAAACAATGTTAAGTTCACGACAAATTTTACTTAAATACTCCATTAATGTCGCGTACTCTAGCATGCCTTAAATTAACTCCAGAAAATATAGGTCAAGTTTGTTTTCGTCTCCGAGCATGTACAGTGTATGGGGGATGGGCGGTTGGATGGTGACATGAATGAACGTTAGCATGTTATACATACAACTAGTTGAAGTATTTGAACTTATTTTCTTAAGTGAATTTTCTGCACGCGAGTTTCCTGTACGATTGTATGATGATATGTATGATTTTAGTTTACCACTTGAGAGTTTTAATCCATATTGTAATTGTCAATCAGGAGGGGTTTAGAGCAACGCTGTCCATGCTGCTGAAACCCGGTGAGAAGACATACACACAGCGGTGTCGCCTGTTCATTGGTAACCTGCCCAGCGACATCACAGAGGAGCATTTTAAAAAGCTCTTTGCTAAATATGGAGAGCCCAGTGAAGTCTTCATCAATAAAGGCAAAGGCTTTGGTTTCATCCGATTGGTAAGACATCTCATTTTTAAATATAATGTACTCATGGTGCTGATAAATACTGCAATAATACTATAACAATGTTGGGATTAAGACAAATACATGGTACATTTTCTTGCAGGAGTCTCGTGCACTTGCAGAGATAGCAAAGGCAGAGCTGGATGACACGCCAATGAGAGGTAGACCTCTGCGTGTCCGGTTCGCCACACACTCTGCAGCCTTGTCTGTAAAGAACCTCTCACCATTCGTCTCCAATGAGCTCCTAGAAGAAGCTTTCTCACAGTTTGGAATGGTGGAGAGGGCCATTGTCATTGTAGATGATCGTGGGCGTTCCACAGGCAAGGGCATTGTTGAGTTTGCCTCCAAACCTGCAGCCAGAAAGGCCCTAGACCGGTGCAATGAGGGCGTTTTCCTGCTCACCACGTAAGTAAAGATAAAGTTCAAAAAGCACAGTTTTGCATTGTACATAATGTTCCAATAAATGTCTATGGTTATGCTTGAAACCCTTGCTTATTTGTCTGTTTTTTTCACCCCTGTTAGGTCACCAAGGCCTGTTATTGTTGAGCCTCTGGAACAGTTTGATGATGAAGATGGTCTTCCAGAGAAATTGGCACAGAAAAACCCCAGATATCAAGCGTAAGCATTTCACTGCCATATAATTTAAATATAACTATTTTGGTTTTGAATTGAATACAGTCTTCATTCTCACTCAATGCTTCTCCAAGTCATTGTTTTGTGAGAAGCAGATGGTGTGATGTGGTTGGCGGGGGAGGGTGGGGTGGTTCAGGGATTGCAGCTGTTAGAGATCAATATTCTATGTGGAGTGGCAGATGTTGATGTTTGAGTCAAGCGCAGTAGGGGGTAGTACCATGCCTGACAATGAACACTGATATCAATACATCTATATTTATTCTATCTATTTCATCTGTCACGACTCCACCCAGCCGACTCATTCTGTGCCTTTAATGCTCACGGGGGAAAAACTGCATGTAATAAAGCTTCATGTATTGTGTCTTGTATCTACAGAGAGCGGGAGGAACCTCCACGCTTCGCTCGTCCAGGCACTTTTGAGTTTGAGTACTCTAAGCGGTGGAAGTCGCTCGACGAAATGGAGAAGCAGCAGAGGCAGCAGGTGGAGAAGAACATGCGGGAGGCCCGTGAGAAGCTAGAGAGTGAGATGGAGGACGCTTACCACGAGCACCAGGCCAATCTACTCCGACAAGGCAAGTATAGTGGTAGTGTTGTTCAGTAAAAAGAAAATAAGTCCATATCACCAGGAAAGATTCAGTCATAGAATGTGGAGTAGCTCATTGATGAAGAACTACTATTAAATTAGTTGGTTTCATGTGTCCTTGCAGATTTGCTGAGGCGACAGGAGGAACTGCGGCGCATGGAGGAGCTGCACAGTCAGGAAATGCAAAAGAGGAAGGAGATGCAGCTCAGGTATTTGTATGTTAGAATTCTCAAAGCCTCAAGTCAAAATTAGATTAGATCAGATTGGATCTCAACCTGGATCATGTGACTGAATGTTTTGTGTTTTTGAACAGACAAGAAGAAGAGCGACGCAGGAGGGAGGAGGAGATGCTTCGTAAGAGGGAGATGGAAGAACAGATGCGCCGTCAGCGTGAGGAGAACTACAGGATGGGCAACTTCATGGATGTGAGTTAAACTTCAACACTATAAGAATATAAAAAAGTACATATGTGTAATGATGTGAGATACTTCATCAGAATTTTATTGGTTAATTCATTATTCTCTTGTTTTTGTCTTTTGTTACAGAGGGACAGGGAAATGAGAATGGGTGCCGGCGGAGCTATGGGCATGGGAGGTAAGTTATCTATTTTTCTCTATTGTTTTCTTGGGCTTATGATGAAGACAGAAAAAAACTAACAATGCTATGTATTAACCATCCCATATACATCAGTGATTCCTATTTACAGGCCTTTGAAATGACACACTGATATATGACATATATACAGTAGAAATGAAACAGTATAGAAATTTAGTATTATGATTATAGAGACCAATATCATCACGGTTATCAGTATTTTCACGGTATTGTTAAAATGTGCTGAAAATGTTCAAAAGGTAATAAAACAACCTGAAATCATTTCACCAAGTGACTGTTTGCTTATAAATACACACCTATCGGCGTCAGCTAATTCTGTAAATAAGGGAATAGCAATTTTCCCCCTGCTTTGACGTCTTTCAGACACAGACGGTAGACACACCTGTCACCTGTCCAACATGGTGCTGTTAAACCAGAAACATCGCAGCCATGCTGTGCTCGGGGATGACAGTGAGCTGCAGCCCTTTTTAAAATCACACAATCACCGACAAGAGCATCTCACACGGAGGCTCAGTGGCTATAGCTCACTGTCTCTCTCCTGAGTCTGTGTGTGCACTCTGGTCATGTGACATCACTCCAAACAAAGTTGTGTAAAGTTTTTAGAGGGGTGAAAAATCTCCAGAGCAGCGCTGTCACTGCCTTATGCCATGTTTTGACTGACACATAACCCACGTTGCTTACCTAACATGCGCCTGGGTGACTGTTGATGGTTGATGCCGTACAGAACCTAACGTGAGTCCAGTTAACCACAATAATTAACCACGGTTATAATGATAATTCAAATTTAAACGGTAATGCTAACCACCAGGCATTTCTACCGTGATATAGTGTGAAACCGGTGACCGTTTCATCTTTAATATACAGCTATCAAGAGGCTCCATCAGGGGTTTGTCTGACATGCAGTATATCTACTTGACTTGTTATGTTGTTTCTGTCAGATATGCCCTTTGGTGCATCCAACCAGAAGTTCCCCATGGGTGGAATGGGCTTTGAGGGACAGCAGGGAATGGGACCATCCTCAGGAGGCTTGATGGGCAACGAAATGGTAACGTATCCCACTTTTGGGAAGATCAGTAGTTGATGTAGTTTGTGCTTGGCTTTCCTTTGTGTTGGAAAGCCTACCAGCTGATTTTAAATAGAAAAGCCAGCTGGCCGAGCAGGATGGGAGAATATGAATGATTTGTCTCACAGCCGTTTCCGGGTGGCTTGCCGGTTGTTGAATGTGACAGATACGCTGCCTGCTTGATAGGGTTTTTTTCAATGGCAAGCCAAGCCCCCTCAGTTATCTTCACCCAAGTCTTACTGCGTTCCAGCAATGAAACCGTCAGCCTGCACTAAATCCAAAGAAACTGCTCTCCAGTGTGCTCTCTAACAGCTGTAGACAGACTTCAGTGGCTCTTCTCACTTTTATCGCAGTGTTTGTGTAGTGGACTGGCATTGCAAGCCCTGTCTCATGTGAGCTGGACAGGCACTTCTTCTTGACCGGAAGCAGAATGGCATCTACCAGTGTTTTTCCCTCAACTGTTGACAGTGTGCTTATCCAGTTTTAAATCCCTTTTTTCATACTGTGCTAGCAGTTTTCGTGTGTCATGATGAGAAATTAAGTTGTATATGAACGGCTACGTGTATTTTTGGGTGGCAGTGTGAAATCCTGTGTAAAGAAGACAGAGAACTGCAGCAGGGGTGTAGTTCCTCTTCAGGACCAGCAACTTAAACCTTCTCATCAACCTCTTTTTTGTAACTGAGCATTTATAAAGGTTTTAGTGCAAGCTGATGGTATAAGACATTCATCTTAAACAAAATAGTCCAAATTGCATATTACAGCAGGATTACTTGATGGGGGCAGGCATAGCCTTGTGACTGTGTGTTTAGGATGATATTGGTGAATAGTGGACCAAGCCAGAGATCTGTGCTTCTGGACAGAATTGTAGCACCAATGTTAGGTTTATTCTTGTGTTACAGTCGACCGTAAGAGCGACTAAATGCTTGTTAACATCATGGTGCCTGAATGAAAAGCATTTCCAGAAAACTTCATAACAACCTTTTTCTATATAAAAGCTTATATATGCTACAACGTATTGAACTAGGTTTTGTATTTGAAAGATAGTGTGCTATACATTTGGAGTTTCTGACATAGCAGGCTCATGCTAATATACATTTGGCTTAATTCTTTAGTGTTGCTTTGGATTTAAAGCACAATATTCCTTTTAAAGTGATTTTTGAAAAGAATTTGTTATGGATTTATATAGACTTGGTTTTCAGGTTCAAGCTTCTCAGCAATGTTGACGGCAATATAACAGTTTCACAAATTATTCAGTTGCATGAAGTGTGCATCTTGACACACTGCGATTTTATAGTCGCACCTGAAAGTGAAGCCCAGTAAAAGTATCTGATAATGATGTGGCTGAACATTTCCAGTTCCATACATTCATATTCTACAGTCGTACACATTCTATGTTCTTTTCTTAGTTTAATTGATCCATTGAAACCTCATGTTGTAAATTGAAGCCTAACTCCTCTCTTGGATTTTGGCTCCTCAGTCATTCACTCCTTCTCACTCTGTTCTAGTTCCACAGAACTTGTCTGAACTGACATATAAAGTGCATATTGATGAACAAATTGTTTTTTGTTAGAAAAATGGTTGAGCTGAATTTCTTGTGCAATATTGACATTTTATTGTGCCAATATTCTACGTATATATTTCTGATGTAGTCCCTGTACTTGAGATTCTGGTCACATATGGGACCATTAGTTAAGCATTTACCTTTTATCCCTGTGGTGCCAGGTCTGTTCTGGAAACTTATGAACTCATTTATTTCAGAGTTTGTTATGGTGGCACCTAACTTCATAGTTTTGTTTCCCCTAAAATTCAAAGGAAACATGAATTACGCTAAAAAAACGTAATGAAAAAATGCTTCTATTTGTCTTCATCATTTATCTATAATCTATATATTTCTACATATATAAATAATATATATTTAGCAAATACCTCTATCGAGGTTTGGACATTTATCTGTTGCCGTATTTAATGACCATGAAGATGAAGTGTTGAACATGGTCAGCATTTATGAAATGCTCCACCTGATGACCAGTAAGGACTGTAGTGTTGGCATGCACTGGAGAGACCATACTAGGTAGGCACTGACTAACGAAAGCATTACCCTCTCTTCCTTTTCCGTATGTAACCTGTGGCACCTGTGGACCTTCATATTGGAACGAACGGTTTCTTCGGATGTGTCTCCTGCTGGTTGTTTTGTAAATCTGCTCATGATATAAAAAAAAAAATCACCTCTATTTCCATACCTTTTTGTACACCTCCATATGGACATGAACTGTGTGCTTGCGCACTGACCCACTCCCATACCTTATTCCCCCACCTTTCTATCCACCTCCGTGGCAAATTGACCCCCACAGCGCAATGAGCGCTTTGCCCAGGGTGGTCCTAGGGGGATGGGTCCTGGTAACCCTGGTTATGGCAGGGTCCGTGAGGAGTTTGATGGTCCTACTAAGAAACCCCGTTTTTAAATGCTGCTCTTTGATGCTCCCAGCAGCAACATTTGTATAGATTCTCCAAAACGAACATGTTGAGTCGTATTTCCTGTATTTAAGTTTAAATTGTTGCTACATTTTAGCCTGACAATTTGCTCATTTTATGACAAAGTCAATATTTTCATTTTTTATTTTGTATTGTCAGTAGTATGGAAAGGTAGGTCATCAACTGACCGGTTAGTTCTTTCTGACCCATGTACGATTTTCTTTTCTAGATGTATTATGCTCTGTGAGTCGTCGTGAAGTGATGATTGTAACATTTTTCTCAACTTTCTATGGCTGTGTTTTGTGCCATACATTTGCAGTCAAAGCATGTACTATAATAAAGATAAATTGGTTCCATCAGGACAAACCTTTAACATTTATTCCTAAAAGTCGAAAACAAACCTTAGGTTCTAAAAGCAAACCAGGTGGTTGTTTGCTCAAATGAAATGATGTGGATACATCCGCCACATCAGGTCTTAAAGGGTCTATGTGTTATCTCTGCCACAATCCTGACCTTTTTTCTTCAGTGATGCATATAATGCAATTTTTGCCTGAAGTGGATGCTCACTTTAAATGCTCCATCTCTTCCTTTTATTTTCTTCCAATCAAATTAAGTCAACTAGCCGACACTAGTTACAACCAGTACCCTCAATTAAAAAACTTTATAAGTTTATTATATTCCAAAGAGGTAATTAAGCAGAGACATAAACAGTGCAGAATGGCACTGGTAAGACATTTAGCATCTGCGCAGATGTCTATAGATCAGACAGCACCCAGCACTTAACGACTGTATTGTACAGGAGGCTCAGTTTATTTTTTATTATTAAAATGCAACTTTGTGCTTCCATTCAAACACTGCACTCGGTGTGAGAGAGAAAAGTTGTTGACCATGTTTCATGAAGTAACTCTGTTTTTGCAGCCGTGCTTCAGGAAAGCAGAAATACTACACATAGAACCTTTAAGACAGCCTGTGGTGAAGTGTGTGGTTGTAGGTTTATCAAGTGGTCCTTACGAACACATTCTGCTCGTATCACATTCTCAGCCTGTCACTGACACACAATTAGTGTGTCTTGTGTGCATGTTTTTGAGCCTGGGATTATTGACTACGTTTACATGCAGTCCAGTATATTGAAAGAAACTGCACCTACAGTTAGTGTTGCCCCCTTCTCAGAGGCTGGATTTTGTTTTTAAATTGACAACCCTCTTGCCACTGGGCTACTTTATCAGTGGCCTGGTTGGGTTTTTTTGTATTTCTTTTAATCATGTGTTGTTGAACACAAGTGTTTCAACTCACTTTTGTTATTTACATTACTTGTGTGGTGGCAGGTGTTGTTAAGTAAATAAGATGACCATAATGTCATTCCTTCAGTTGGCTACAGTATAAACAACAGCTGTGTAGATGTTAATTAGAAAGCAGTTTGTCCAGTGAGATTGGCAGATTCTCCTTCACAGACCTGCATGTAAACGTAGTCTTTTTAGTTGTGGACTTCTGGGGACTACACAGCTCTACAGAGTTGAACACAGTCTTTGCTGAAGGAACTGGCTTAAACTTGTTTCTGGATCTAAGTCCATAGTCACGCTATTTACCTTTGCAGGACTGGCAAGGATCTAAGTTAGATGTGTGTAATCATATGTAGTGCTCAGGTGTGAGATCATGACAACCACCACAAACTAAAACAAATATGTATTACAGTTCTGTCTGTGGATGAAAATGTCAGTTCTTACTTGTAAGAAAGAGCTCACCCCCTCAGACAGGGGTCAAAGTGACAAATAATTTTTACTTCTTGTCTTGTAGACTATTGTGTAACATACAAAAGTCAGTGGGCAATGTTTTATTTTTTTTTATTTTTTTTTAAAACAAAGAATAAAAATCCTAAACCTGCATAAGCAGTACTTCTCTGACAAGAAGAGTTCTTAAGGTCCAGGTCCTTCTTCCAGAGTCTCAACGCACTAGCTTTCAGATTTATTAGGTATATTTATGCCCCACACCCCTGTGGAGTACAGGAGTTAGATGCAAGCTGAATTGCATGGATGAAGCTCATACTGGAATTTACAGCCTGTCTCGGTTGCCCCTTTTCCACTTGTCACTGTCGAGACCTGCTGATGCTTCACTTTCTCAAGTTTGTGGATTTCCTTTTACATCCCGACAGTTCACAGAAAGATGTCTGATCAGTTTTTTAATGGATAAATAGTCTAATAAGCTTTTAAACTGAATTATTTTTTCATGTATATTATGTTACAGAGATTCATTCTTAAAAGATAATGGCATAAACCAGCATTATGTAGTTACTGTTGGTAATAGACAATCCCCAGTATGTAACTTGGCACAGCTGAGGACAGTGCTTTCATTCATTTTTTCCTCTAGTTCTGCTTTTGACTCATTTTTGGACCTTGGACAATGGATACATTTGCCTCTAATCATGAACTGGTTTACATTTGAATGTGTCTAAATAGTAGCATTAATGTCATCTTCGGAAATATAACAAGTAGCAGGAGCCAACAAACTGTATCAAAAGAAAATGATTTAATAGTTTTCAGAGTCTGGGTAACACAATAATTGCTTACCAGCACTGTCTGCCTTCTAACCAGGCATCATGATGATCATCATTAACATGATTTAATTACGAAGACACAAGATGTCTCCTATTTCACTGAAAAGTCTGTTTATCGTATGTACTCTGGACTCGTATTTTGGACTACCATTTGTTTCCACACTGGCTGTGATGTCACAAAATACTCAGAAACTTCCCTCTTCAGCAGATGAACGTGGAAATGGTCTTCTAGTGTCAAACTCTGTACATCCACAGCAGATTGAAGTTTTAACGCTCCTTGATAATGTCACTTTGCGTTTGAAATTCACTTTGCAGCCCACTCTGGTCCCTCCCTAAGTAACAATGTCAGTACCTATTTAGAGGGATTACAACATCACTTTGGCATCAGATGGACACCCGCCTCCGTTCACTGACTTGTCTTAGCAAGCATTTTTCATAGTTACAAAGTAGGTGGGGTTGGACTGAAACAGTCGGTGTAAGTATGAGACGAAGCACATTTCATGTACCTTTTATTTATTACATTTAAATGCACTTCGTGAGCCAGTCATAGTCTGCAGAACTTGACTACGGTTTTGTGGACAGTTACATTACTTCATTATGGCTTCTGTTGTTGGCTACTGACATTTGTTTTCAATCCTTAAACCTTTGCCATACTTTTCCTCATGCCATTCTTTAACTCATTCTCAAGATGAACTGTAAGTGGCTTTCCACCCTAAGTTTGGAGTCACTTGCGTCACACCTCTTTTGTTAACTGTCCAATGGCTGACATTTGGACCTGTAGCAGGACGACAGTGCATCTTATAGCAGTTTGTCAAATAGCTCAACACTGCCAAGACATCAAGAGCCTCTAGATTTATTTGAGGTGTTCTTGTTGTGTAAAGAATGATAATGCACCCTGCACAATAACTATAAAAGATATTTAAGAATTTTTACTTGCTTATAAAAAGTATCTCAGGTAGCAGCTGAGAACCCTGCAAAACACATCTGTAATAGCTTCTAAACAGAAGACTACAGATATTTGGGAGGATTCCGTAATACTGTTGGATATCATGGAGTGTACACCTGAAATGTTACGTGTGTTTGTGTTATGTACATTTTTTCTTTAACAGGTTTGACCAGCTTTAAAGATTGTGGACTGTGGAGGAATTTGTGGCTGTGTAGCGTGGACTCATGAATACTTGAGCAAAACAACCTAAACACTGGACTTGTGTGATTTAGCAAGATTCAGCTGGCACTGTGCAAACATTACAAAGGAACTATGCACAGAAGTTTGGAGCAAGGAAGCCATTTGTCATCAACACATTTGGACTCTTGGATCAGTGTAGTACAGTTCGAAACTCGGATTACAATGCAGATTCTGCCATGTGGCATTCACACTGCACAACAAATTCCTGTGAAACCTATAGATAGAACAATTGCTCCGGTAAACCTTCGATTGTTTGGAACACAGTTGACTTAAAGTTGCAACTTAATAGATTTTGGTGATATCAGATTCCCAAATGTTTGAACCTGGTTTGTAGAGAATTATATTCTGCTCTTGTGTCTAAAACGTGAGTATTTACATCTTTTATCAAATGATATGGATAAGTAAATTCTAACACTTTGTATTTCTGTTAATATTATTTCTTTGCAGACTTGAGTCATTACTTTCATAAACCCTCTGGGAATAGACTCAGTTTCTGTAGTTACAGGTGCAAATCTTCTTCTGGCTCCTGTTTACAGCAGCTGTTTGTAGACAAGTGCCAGTGTATTTGTTATTTTTCAGATCTCCTCCTAAAACTATTTGTGCAACACTATAACTGCCTACTGGGGATTTTTATTACCCATGATCATGAGGGTTATTCCAGACTTGATATTCTGTAGATGGCCTCTAGTAAGATATGTTTATTTTCTAGGTGACCAATTTTGTTCTTAAAATAATGTAATCGAGAATTAATGAGAAAGTGTTGGATGAGGAGCCATGAGTGTTGATGCTTAATTCCTTTAGGAGTATTTTCTCACATAATCGAGATGGACAAGGAAATTTTTTAGCCCAATCACTGCATAAGCTTTATGACTCTTCTGAATAGATTTTTTTTTTAAGGAACTGTCTGGTGGCCAACTTTATGGACAGCATTTGGATTTTTTACTTTTCTATTTAATTAAAATATATTCCCTTGAAGCGATCCTCTTGATCACAAAGGGAAAATTAGAGGGAAAAAGTAAATGATACTCATTACTTTGAACTTAAGATAATAACCCTTTTTTCTAGTACCATAAGTCTGAAAAATGTAGACGTCATATGACTTCTGTAATATAATTTTGTGTATAGTAAAATGTTAAATAAACATTTTAAATTAGGTTTTTTATTTCTAATTGATATCAGGTTAATTTAGGGTTTTGCTAGTGTAAAAAACAATTTAATCAGTTTTCCTTCTCCACACAGCATTTGAACATCCAACAAAACAGGACGACAAATACTCAGGCGGATTTGGTAATACAATTGGACTGAAGTGTAAATTTTAAAACGTGTAATGTTATGTCTGTATGTTGGTGTTGTGTACCATTTGTTTTTCTTTAACAGGTTTGACCATCTTTAAAGGTGTTGGACTATGAGAAGGAAGTTTCCATACCAAGAAATTCAAAGTCAGTGGTAACCAAAGAATTAGCAGCTGAAGATTTGTCGCTTCTTTCATAGCAGATATAAGAATGAACAACTATTACTCTCAAGGACCATATAGGATCTGTTTTTGAGAAATTAACAATTCGTGATAGGCAGTGGCTCTATGGCTTGGACTGCAACTTGGGAAGTTGTAAGATTTTTAACATTTG